ATCTCATAAAATAGTCTTCACATAAAACTCAGGATTCATCATTTTCACAGTTTTTTTACATTAAAGTTGTAAATTTAACACCAAATCTCTACATTATGATATCTTTAAAAGAAAGCAGAACACATTAGTCGCTAATTTCTTTGACAAATATAAGTGAGCATCTCACCTTGCAGCAGACAGCCAATGAGGAGGAGAGTCAGAGCTGCAGCCATCTTTGTGTTTCAGAAGAGGCAGAAAGTCTGGAGAGAATACATGTAGATTTACAGTTTAGTGTATTTCGCTCCAAATAAACTTAGATTTCATTTTGTGGCTGTTGTTGAATGTGATCTTTGCAGAAGTTGCAGATGGAGAAATATGTTGAAATATTTGAATCTTCATCAATGTGGAAAAGGTTGGATCCAGAGTTTAGTTAACTAAAGCAATCCCAATAAAACTAAAAGACTTCAAGGTGTGCAGCTTCTCATTTTAAGGTTTAAATTGAAATATTTTTGCATTTCATTCAATTCATGTAAAAATGCTCATTATTAAAACGTAGAAGATGAAATGATAATAAAATAAAAAACAGGAAGTTTGACTGCCTGCCTCAAAGAAAAGAGACAAATGTTGTGTTTTTTATTTTGTTTCTTTCTTTGTTTACAACTTCTTTAAGGAAACTATTTGATCAGTAATAACGCCCAGAAGAAAAACTGCATGAGAGCTTTAAAATGTTCAAAACTTGATCAGAGTGAATGTTTTTTCTTTCCCCTGTAACAAAGTTTGTTTGATCAACTTCAGAAAAATGCACCTATTAAAAAGTAACCTTTATGATGTTAAACATGTTGATTTGTTATATCTCCTGAAAAAGTATAAAGTTATTTAAAAGTGATATAAAAGTTTTATAAACTTACGTTTTTGTCAGGTCTTTTTGAGCAGAGAGGTGAAGGATGTTTAGAGAAGTGAAGTTCCTCATCATTTGGCCGCCTTCATAAACAGCATTCAAAATTTGTCTTGAAAATGAGGAAGTCAAAAAAAAGTGAACATTCATGTTCACATGAAATGTTCAGTACATTTCATGTGAATAGTTTTCATACAGTGTAACATCTTTACTTACCTTTCATTTACTATTGATAAAAAACATCTCGCTGTACAAATTATTTGTATCTTTAGACCTTAAAAAAACATTGTCATCATGGGGATGTCAGCATTCGATTAAAATGCAAAAACACATGAAAAGCCTGTACTTCCTTATCATGAAGCAATGAAATAAGCAGACTACTCTATAGAATACATTTCTAATAACACAATTATCAATCTCTTATCAATTACCATAAAAACCTGAGGTATAAGACGCACACCCTTTTTTTAGATCCAAAAAGTTGGCTGCATCTATACACTGGTGCAACCAATATACCAGTATAAAATGCTGACACACGCAGTGTCATTACTGACGATTAAAAATACATCCCCATTCTTTCTGTATCCAGATGTGATTGCATGCTGTGCTGGGTGAGAAGGTGACACAAACCACAGCTTTTCTCCCTCACAAGGTCATAATCCTGCATGCACAGAAAACAGTAGTATATTGTTTCATAAATAAACCTTGTTGAGTGCTCTTTTGATTGAAGTAATTCTATATTAAAGTCAAAAAGTGACCAGCGGAGTCGTGCAGAGAGCTTGCAAGCTAGGAGTCTGTGCCTCACAACTTTCACTGCAGCCTGAGAGCTCAACTACCGTACTGTAACTAGTAGGAGTGCAAACTCCAAAAAGTGAAAACAGACTGAACTAAAAGAGCGACACAGCTGAACACAAACTGCACGTTGTAGACTTCACTGAACACAATAGAAATGATCAGGCCAGAAAACTTTTTTTCTCTCTCAGAGACCTTCAAAAACATGCCACTTATATTCTGGATTTTATAGTATGACAAAAAGTATTTTCATTCTTACTCAAAGTCAGCAATTTTTTTCACTTTTTGAGTTCACTTTTTCACTTGCTGTATTTGTTGCTTTTGAGCTTTTAGAGATGAAATGATCTGGGAAATACATCAGCTCCTGAAGCTAATTTCAAACATGCCAATTGTAGTGATCGATAGAACTCAACAGTGATCCCCCACTTTTATGGCGGCTCTGGTTCTGAAAGTACATTTCTCCCTTCAAATCGTCGATTGACATTTGAGAAATTCCTTTTGTAAAAAATGTTTTAGTCCTGGAACCAAACCAACTGTTGTTCCACTGTAGGAGGATATCTGTCATACACCACAGGATAATACATCTTATTGTATTGATACCAGGTGACCTGGACATGAGCTTTTGTCTGACATGGTACCACAGCACAGCTCCCCTCCACTGCAGTCACTGTTTTAGGTACAGTGATGTTCCAGCTTCTCACCTGCTGCAGCACAGAGAAGCCTTTGTGTGAGGGAGAGGAGGAAGAGGAAGGAAGGGTGAATGTGTTAGCAAAGTTGGCAACAAATGTTAGTGGTTCAGTGAAGAAAAGCTGATGAGAAAGAAAAGTATGTGTCATGCAACAGGAAATGAACAACAGTGAAAGCTGCTTTTGAAAGCAAAGTTTAATGTACAGCCATTTGTCATACAAAGTAACATTATGAGAGCTGTCACTCACACTCGTTTCTTTGGTGAGGTTATGTTTCAGAATAAAAACATCTAAAAAACACTCTTATTATTCGGGACAGTGACCAATTCGAAGTCTGGCTAGCAAGCCAGTCTTTCTGTTAAACATACTTTCTGATCATATTAACCGTTTGGTAGCCATAGGTAAAGATGTTGAGAGAAATGTGTGCTAGCTGAAGGTAACTTCATACTTTCTGGTTCATTATTATCTCAGGCAACATTAAAGTGACAGCACATGTGACAGTGTCAACACATGTAATAAGGTAGGCCAGAGGGAATATAAACTTAATGAGAATCAGCAGGAGCAAAACATCAGGTTCATATATTGATATGTTACATATTTTATGATAGAAGATATTTGACAATATTGTCATACTTGATGACTGCATTATGTTCTCTCAGACTCTGCTCTGAGAGCTACTTGCATACTGACTGCCCTTCACATCACCCCTTAGTAGAACATGGTAAGCCCTGTTCTGCAAATTCATCCCATTTATAAAAAGGGACTGAAGGTTGGGAGCACAGGTTTTTCATGTTTCACTGAAGCTTTATCAAAAAGTTAAAACAGAACATAGATATCGACAAGCAATTGTGTTTTTCTTATTGTTTGCACTGCTTCTTTAGTAGGTCTGAATGCTGAAATCTTCTGTAAATTCACAATTTAAAGTTGATATATATTTTTTTTAAATCTTCTTTTTTAAACTACACATGCTTTTGGCACATCATCATTATCACATTGTCATAAAATATCAGGACCCTGAAAAGATACTGAAAGAAACTTTGGCTTTTCTGAAGAAAGAACCACACTGACTTGGAGGAAGTTGCGTCTGCAGAGGAGCAGACTTTAACAGTTCTCCTTTCATCATTTTCACACAGGCTGGTCTCGAACTCGTAACTCAAGTTCCTGTTATACTTTCCATCCACAGAGCACTTTGTTGGATGCAACAGTGGAAACTCGTAAATTTCCGACTTTATTCTTTATTATAATTTGGCCCTAATCGTGGCCCTAATCCTCCGTTGTTAAAGAGAAACTTGTTAGGCTGAACAATTATATGAAGTCTCAAGATCTGTAGTAAATAGGCGACCTCCAAACCCACAACCTTATTTTGTTAAAATGTATTTTCCCATTTGAACTGTTTGTCTTGGTTATTATCTGTTCTTATGAGGTTAAGTTGAGTGTCTTGCCTTTTTAGCTGTGAGATTTATTTAAAGAATTACTTAATATATATAATATGCACATGATCTGTAGATGGATGGAAAATGTATAAATATGGTGTATCAACTACCGCTGAATCCCTGTGCAGAGTCTCAGTGAAAAGTAGGCAGCATTTAAGTTGTACCTGCTGTACAAATAGGAAGATATTACAGACTTTTATGATATATTTTAAAAGAATTTTTGGCTGAGTTTCACACAGAAAGAGCTCATAAAGTGTTGTTGTTTAATTGTGTATCTTTCGTTGTTTCAAACACTGCTTCGTCCTTTCTCCGTTCCCTCCACCCCGTCTGCTCTCATGCAGAGATCAGCTGGTGGCTGTGTGTGACAACAATCAGTAGCTTCACTAGGTAACGTTACAGCCTGCTGTAGTCTGTTGCTGTAAACTGAGCCAAACTATGATAGCGAGTAGGCCTGCGTGACAAGATTAAAAGTGTTATCACGATAAAAAATGTCATATCAGTCGATATCGATAATTGTCATTCATTATTTCTTTCAAATTTAAAGGCTGATTTTGGCTCCTGAGTTAAAGTTGAAAAAACAAGGTGGTTAATTATGGTTTAATTATTCAGAACATGAGAAAATATAATTAAATATTTCACCATTATAAGCACAGTGCACGTAGCGCTCAAGGAACATTAGCGCTCCCCACTTCCCAGTGGTTGGTGGTGTAATCACACGATTAAATCTGTCAAACTTTTATTGAACATTTTTCATATTTATTGACGAAAATTATATCGCAATAATTATCATTTCGTTTTATCGCCAAGGCCCAGTCCGGACTGAACTGTAAGCTATGTCTGCATCTCAATCTAGTCTCTAAATTTAACCTGGGCATATTCACATTCAGAGTCCTTCTTCACATTTCTAGGCTTCACTTCATTGTATAGATTTACACTCTCTACTGCATTGCTCGCAACATTTCTGCCCAATCTCTCATAAGCTTCTCCTCCAGATAGGAGCGACCTGACTGATTTGTGTCCCCAGAGCTTCCTCCCTCCTTCTCGCCTTTGCTCCTCCAAGTCACACTAGTGTAAATCACATCTTTGCTTTCCTCGTTTTTCTTCTCTGAACTTGTCCTGGCATCTTCTGTGTTGTTTCGGCTTGAGCTTGGTAAGTTGGTGCTGGTTGGCTCAGAGGTAGTTGCAGGTTGGGTGACACCTGGTTTCTTCAGCTCAGTGGTGTTAGCATAAATGCCCTCATTTGTTTTGTTGGGTTCCTACAAATCAAAAGGAAATGTCGGTTGTAAGGTTATTCTGCTTATTTAAGTGACACTAAGTAGAAAACTGCTGGATTCCAGGATAAAGTACCTCATCTCCTTTTCCACTTGGTAGATGTTGGCTCATAGCAACTGTGCTGGCGTTACCTGACCCCTGACTCTTAAGCAGGTTGTGTTGAGTCCTCTGAGCCCTGAAAAAACCAGCAGAGTATAAACCTACAAGAATATACTGACAATATCTTTCTTTTTCAACTAGTCTAAAGTTGAGAAAAAACTCAGGGAACAGTCCATATTTAGTTATTTTAACACTGGTAACAGATCACAGGATCACAGCGTCTGCAGTCGATGTCAACATGTTGTGCCGAGTGTGGCGAGCATTAGCAGTACTAGCATTAGCAGTACTAGCACTGCCAGCCTTTGGTCCTCCTTGCAGGTTTACTTCCACATGTCTGTGCTTTTTACGCATTGCTCTGGTCAAGATACACCACTTTAACACGAGACAGCCTACATACAACTTTTATTCCATTTTCTAGATCAAAATACAGTCAAACCTCTTTGTGCTATGACATGCCACTTGTCTACTATGCTGGTTTACATCTAGGTAGTAGAGCATTAGTGCCTGTCTATAGCTTTGGCTGGTGGCGGGCAGCATTTCAGCATCAACATTCTTATGTGTACATGTGCAAAGGTCACAGTACAGGACAAACTCTGTCAAGAAGGGGAAATATTCATGATTACTTCATGCCATAACTTTTTTGTTGCAACATACTGGAGCAAAACTCGCAGGTTTTCCACTCGGACTTCGCTACAGCTGCCTGCAAACATGGGGCTTATTGAGAAGCTGCAAACTGTATCACAGCACACCAATCAGTAAAGAACAGTAAAACACCACATAATGAACCACCTGTGGGCATCCTCTCTTCAGAGTAAGGTTATCAACATTTTTTTTCATAATTTGATACTTTCGACCTCTTTTAAAACAATACTCTTCCAAATCTCCTTTATTCTAATGATCGATAGTACCCAAAAGTACACAAAGCTTTAAATAACTACATATCTTCAGTCATTTTTAATCCCAAAGTTGCTTTGAGCAAAAAAGAGAGTAAGAGATCAGCGGTACATCTGAAATTCACAGATCAGCAACTACTGATGTTTCTCCAGTCCTTTAGGTGTCTCATAAAGCTGCATATTCATGTTTATTTGTCCAGACGCAGAGCAGAGGACACTATAAATAACACAAATACTTTGGCAACATTTTCGATCCACAACATTTGATTGAAATTACCTGGATAAGACTTGGTCTGCTCATAGTACCAAAAAATATTAAACATTTCAAAGATTTTAAATTGAAGACCAGAGGAACACTGTATCTTCACTCAAATAAAGAATATAAAAGTCCAAGTTGGAGGTTTTTAAACATTTTGCATAGTGGTATTCTGTACGGTTTGGCTTGATTTGCTGTAACCCTACCTGATAACAAAGAGTAGAGCACATACTAGCACCAGGAAGACGACAATGGTGGCGATGAAGACTAGCAAAATCACTGAAAAATACAAAGGACAATAAGGGATTATGGTTCAAGCTCTTATTCAGACGAGATTATTATTTGAATAAATTCGGACATCACTTATTAATTATTCATTTTGTAAATTGTTAAATCAGGACATATTAAAGCTTTCAAGAGGAATTTATGTTCACCACTTACCCATTCATAAAGCTTTCTTGTTAATACTTAATTATGAGAACAAATGGTGAAATGTGCCGCTTACCAATAAGTTATACTCAGTTCAGAGACAAACCTTGACTTTCTGCAGATGTTGGAAGGCTGTAGAAAATAAATCGCTGAGAAGCAGATCCCAGACAGTTTGAGCTGCGACAAAGCACAGTGAAGTGATCCTCCCATTGGGCTTGACTCATGGTGATGAAGCTCACGCCTGTACCATTTCGATGCTCATAACTGATTGCAAACTCTTCTGAGTGATTGACAGCTAACCCATCCAAACTCCATTGTAAAGTGGGAGGAGGATTTCCCGTAGACTCACAGGAACAGTTGACCTGGTTAGCAGTTTTGGTGCAATCAGATGAGGACATGATCTGTGGAGCATCTGTAATGGATGTAGGGAAGAGAGACAAGTAGAGAGTCAAGTAAAGCCATGCTGTATCAAATTTGAAAAAGTAAAAGATAAGGCTTATGGCTGTAAAAAAAAAGAAAAAAAGTTGACCAGCTGTGCGTGTCCAAGTGAATGAGGCAAAGAAAAATTCAATTTCCTCCATGTCAATCGGTTTTCATTCTGGGCCTGTGTCCACAGAGGGCGCTTTTAACGCTGGCAGCGCCTATTTTCAATACAAAACCATGTAGTTCAGTGTTTTCAGCACTCATAAGTTTCTTGAGGCCGCATTCACTCAGCTCTCAGTTGAAAACAATTCCACTTATGGAACAGCACTACGCTCTTCTATGTCACATCTCCATAACCAACCTATGGCGTTTTATCCCAGCCAATAAAATTGCGTGCGGACGAGATCCATGCGAATTTAAAGGAGCTGTGCGTGCAACTCAAACAGCCACGCGCATATTATTTTGTGAGCACTTGCACAGCATTCACTTGCAGAATTTATCTGCTCGCGCGAGCAATATTGTATCCTGCAAGGAGAAAACCATGCTTTGAGCACGAGCAAAATCTCACCCTGAGCGCGTAACTACAGTGCTCTCTGGGATTTTTCTTTTTGCGCTCAAAGCATGGTTTTGTCCTCTCAGGATACAATATTGCTCGCGCAAGCAATTTCATTTGAATGATTGTAATTTTACTTGATATGCACATTCTTACTAAGCAGACCTTTTTGGGGGTAAAGTTAACATTTGCTCGTCTCTAATTTAATTATAGAACCTCATATATAACACAGTGTTTCCCCTACCATTCAGGTCGTTCAGGGTGGATTACCCAAAGTGATCTCCCACCACCCTAAAAGAAAGGCACTAAATACTTTATCTATGTAAACTATCCATCCATCCATTATCTATAACTCTTTTCTCCCTTTATTTACAACAAAGTTAATCCTCTACAAAAGAAAGATTTTATGGATTTGAAGTTTCCAATCAAAGGAAATTAAAGTTAAACAAAGAGATTTTCATACATTTTTTAAAATGTAACTGATGAATGACACCTACAATGTACATCTATTTGTCTTGTGTTTGATTGAAAACTTCCCAGTTCATTTTCAGCCTTGCAGAAAAACGGGCCTCTCTTTCAAGAAGCTTATTAACAAAGATTATTTACATTCCTCATTTGTAAAACGCTGCACAAAAGAAGCCTGACCTACCTGCATTTATGCAAATGTTTCAAACGATACCTACACTGAACATCCATCTGTGTGTTGTTCGATCTTCCACTTCCCTCTTCATTTTCAGCCTTGCAGAAAAAAGGTCCTCTCTCCCTAGAAGCTTTGATGTTTAAAACACGTCCAGTCCCCATGAAAGTCTCCTGGCCTCCATCAGCTCTGTACCAGGTGTAGTTCTTTACAGCTGGGTTTGCATTAGCACTGCAAGTCAGTGTCACATTTGTGTCTTCTTGCACTGGACCAGAGGGACTGACTGACACTGTGGTCCCTTTGGGTGAATCTGAAAAGAGAAAAAAAAAAGTTGTATTTTTTGAATATGTAGTTTATTTGTGATGACTACAATTGTAGTTTTGTGTTTGTGTGGCATTTTAAATATAAAGTCAGAACTTTGATCTGCTACATGAAGTCTGCTCGGTGTATAGTAGGCTTTTATTGTGGTAGAGAACATCAGCGTGCACTGCCCATCATATCAGGATTTGTTTTTAGGCTTCGGTGCGCAACTTTATTTACCGACCAAAGTGAAATACAGGAGAATGATAATCCGTAACATTACCTGCAGGCAGGGCTAACACTCTGTTAGGAACGCACATCAAGACAACAGGTGATACAAAACAGTACTCACAGAGCAACGCAAGACATGAGTCACCGTTAAACTGGACCGTTTGACAACACAATTCTAACATGTCTTATTAGCTTAACAAGCTATCACTAGTTTTCTCTGATACATTTAACGACTGAGTGGGTGAAAGTTATGAAGTACAGTACTACATTAGTGCTGTACACATTTTAAAAAGAAAAAAACTTCTTACTCCACTGAATTTATAGAAAATGTTCAGTTTGTTTGCTAGTTGCTTCTCAGATTCAGATTTATGATGTCAAAATATCTTTATGTGCCCTGCTGGCTATATATGTAAATAAATAAATATGCCTATATATTTTTTATTACTCTTTACTTTAACTTAACTTAGTAACTTAACTTTATCTAGGCATACAATGCATTTGACATTGGTCATATTTGTCAAAAAGAAGCAAGGCCATATCTGTCAGTCTAGATTTTGAGCTTTTTATACCTAGATCAAAAACACCAATTGAAATTGGTTATTTGTTGTTTTATACGTTGAGAATTTTCAGACAAACGTTTTTTGCTTTAATCCCTGTTATTAACACAACATGAATATTAGGCTGTCCCAGACGATGTGCTTATCTCCTGATTTCATATTACCCTTTATTTGGTTACTGATTTTTTTCATGTGATTCTAAAACATGTCAGGCAATCCTTGATGACATTGCCCCTTTCAGAATAAATCAAGCCAAACAAAACGCTCTTCCCTTGCTTCCCTTCCAAATCTCCACCAATGCCCACTTGTTATCTGCAGGGTCATCAGCTGGGGTCTACCGCTCGTAGATGATTTGCACCTTAACCCAGAACATCTCCAGTTGAGTTCTTGTTCAATTTGAATCCTCCTGGACTTTAGCTTTGCTTTGAATACGAAAGACTATGATATCCTCCTGAATTTCCTGAAAGAGTACATTGGCATTAAAAACACTGCTCTGTACTGGTTTCAATCTTATTTATCTGGCAGATCTTTCTGTTTCGGCGATACAATTTTCCCCATCCCCTTTCCACCTCACATTTGGTGTTCCCCAAGGGTCAATTCTCAGTCTATTATTTGCTCTGGTAATGGGCACCTCTGGGAAAATGTTCAATATGTTCAAATACACTGCAAACCCAAAGTTTCCCCCACAACTGATTTTAAAAACTAGCTCTAGGTCTTCTACCTTTGCTGTGTACAATATTACTTTTTTTTTTCTTGTGTTTTCTTGTGTCTGCTACTTCCTTTTGTTTGTTAAGGAAAAAATCAATAGCTTATAGTCTGGAGCATTACTGGAAAGTGGATTAGGGTGTGAATACTGCCATGAGGGATTGCCTTTTTTCTCCACTCAGTCGTCTTTGTCTTATCACTGCATGTACTGAACCATGAGGTGGTACAAATACCATTTCAGGCCTTCTAACTATCATAAAATCCAAACTGGTGAGTAATGAGAAAATTCACTCCGCTTACAATGTGAGTCGATAAAGACAATAACTATCAGAACAAAATATATTTTTTACCAGGCCATAAACATGTCCATTTCTGCTGTCACAATGGACATTATAATACGGTGTGTATGGGACTTCTGGTTCTTTTTTCTTCTGCATCAGTTCCATTTTTTTTACCTGTGTTCATGCAAATTTTCAAACAATACCTACACTGAACATCCATCTGTGTGTTGTTCGATCTTTCCACTTCCCTCTTCATTTGCTGCCCGGCAGAAAAAAGGTCCTCTCTCCCTAGAAGCTTTGATGTTTAAAACACGTCCAGTCCCCATGAAAGTCTCCTGGCCTCCATCAGCTCTGTACCAGGTGTAGTTCTTTACAGCTGGGTTTGCATTAGCACTGCAAGTCAGTGTCACATTTGTGTCTTCTTGCACTGGACCAGAGGGACTGACTGACACTGTGGTCCCTTTGGGTGAATCTGAAAAGAGAAAAAATAAAGTTGTATTTTTTGAATATATAGTTTATTTGTGATGAGGGATAGAGAATGTTATGCCTTTATCCTGAACAAGCCCTGCTAAACATCAATAGAAACAGCTAGTAGACCAGTGTTGGGCTGTAACGTATCACTAGTAACGCGTTACAGTAATGATATTACTTTTACAAGTAACGAGTAGTGTAACGAATTACTAATGAAATTCCAGTAATAATATTACAGTTATCCACACAAAAAAAAACTTGTTACTACATTACTTGTTGTTATTACCCCACTTCAGATTTATGCAACAAACCCCAGATTAATTTTGTTGCGCATCTCAGACAAGCAGGAAGGTAGAGCTTCATGGTTGCCAGATATACGGATTTGGGCTTTTTTTTAGGTGCCCCGAGGTAGTTTTTTTTGGCCATTGGGCTTGTTTTGTCATTTGTTGTCACACATACCTGGCAACCCTGGCTAGCTTGAAAGATGGAAGTTTACA